TTATTACCTTACCCAATTGGGAGAATCTGTATGAGGCAAGTCCCCAATAAAAGCTTTTGTGTGTGTGTATTTTATTGTTTTATATTAATTTTTTGTTTAGTATATTCTTAATTCAATACAAATAGTACTTCAAACTGAAGGTTTCTTTCTCTACAGAGACAACCATAAAAATATATCTGGACATCAAGGTATATTTTTATTAGGGAATAAAAAAAGAACACAAATATGAAAAAGTCCAATGATAACGAATAATTTATATTTTGTAAAAATCAGGATTACTTTAATTTATGTTGTTTAATCCAAAGTGCTATGTTTTATAAAAACAGATTTACGAGTTGACCCATTAAGTGATTTAATGGCATACGTTTAACGTCTATAACATACTGTCGTGAAAGATAATGATCCATTTTGTCTAGAACTATGTGTTATAATGAATAAATATTAGTGATAATTCTATTTTTAGAGTAATTAATTATCAATTATATGGAAATAGTACAATGATTGGAAATCTATCTCCATTTAAACAAATATTTTACTCTTCGGATGATAGTTATAGACGAATATTATTAGAGATGGTTAAATGATACGATTTCTCCCTTTACTAAATGGAAATATTCAGACAATTACGGCGTCATGCACGCATGCACACTTTCAAAAACAAAGAGAACATTTATTATATTAGTTATATTCTTTTTCTGCTTATCCCTAGTACACGTGGTTCAGGGGGTCGGTGGTAGGGTGGTGTAAACCATTGGTTTTCGACCGCTACGACCCGGGTTCGATTCCCGCATTGGGCACTTATTTATGTTTAAAAATGCTCTAATGGCCCCCGATTCTTGTAAAAGCCAACTCCACCAGCGAGTGCAAGTAACCAAACGGGGCTCTGGCACATTTGTAAGTGCAAAGTCGAAATGCTTTTCACATGTGTAGACATGTAGTGCACTTACAGTAAAAGCAGTCGCCTACTTCTACCCATCATTATTATCATGGCTCGTACCACGTGTACTAGGGATAAGCAAAAAAAAAAAAATCGTGGTTCAGGCCATGATAATCATGGTAGATATTGTAGGCGACTGCTTTTCCCGTAAATGCACCACATGTCTACACGCGTGAAAAGCAGTTTGACTTTGCACTTACAAATGTGCCAGTGTCCGTTTGGTTATTTGCACTCGCTGGTGGGGTTAGACTTTTGGATAATCGGGGGCCATTGGTCCTTTTTTTTAAATCAGAAAAAAGTGCCTAATGGGGGAATCGAACCAGAGTCGTAGCGGCCGAAACCCAATGGTTTAGACCATCCTTCCACCTACCCCCTACGGTTCTATACCTTGGCCCATCTCAATCCATTGCTATTATGAAATCTTTGTTGTTCCTCGATGTACACAATTATACATCTTAAAATCAATTTATAATTCTATATAACTTGAATATTGAGTCATTATCGGTATTGTGACTAAATATTCTCAGAATAATTACAAATATATAAAAACAATTTATCACAATCAGAGGAATTAAAAAAAAAATCTTATTAGTTAAAAATGGCAAGTTTCCAATCGTCAGATCATTATCAGACCCTGATGATGAGTAATACTTGAAATCTTGCCATCTTAAATTGATAAAGAAACGTATTGCAATTCTTCTTATTGATGAATTGTGTGATAATCACATTCATACTCAAAGCTTTATTAAGACCAGCTGTCTTATACAGATTCACCACAGGAAGAAATAATAGATGGAGCTCCTATACTCCAGGCAGCACAGCACCCAACGACAGCCTCCTGGTCCGACGCATGTCCAATGGGCACACATAATTGTGAAATAATCAATATTCTATAAAAAAAACATGCTGTATTCCACATCGTGTTCTGTGAATTGTGCCAGCTTGTTCTTTAAATTAAATACATATCATGTGGAAATAAGATGGCGTCCGATTATAAAAGAATCAGAAGACGCCGTCAGCTATTGTTGGGATGGTTTAAAAGGAAAGTTGATGACAAGGTAGAAGATAAGATTGTTCTGAATGCACGATCAATATTGTACGGAGCGTTGAAAGATGCCATGTGATCGATAATATTGGTTCAATCCAGATGACATAGATCTAACACTCTCAAACCTCGCTACACATTTTATAAAAATCAATGGTAGAGTGAGAAAAATGTTTGTTTTTCAAATTTAGGACCGTAAGAATGCGTTATGAAACCATTATATCGATTTTTTACTAAAATTGTTTTACAATAAAAGGCATAAGACGTTGCAACAACTTTACCTAACTAAAAAATATAATGGTAGAGTGAGAAAAATGTTTGTTTTTCAAATTTCGTAGTAATGTGTTTGTGTGCGTTATGAAACCATTATATCGATTTTTTACTAAAATTGTTTTAAAATAAAAAGGCAAAATACGCCTCAACACTTCACCTAACTAAAACATATAATGGTAGAATGAGAAAAATGTTTTTTATTTTTATTTTTTAATTACGCGCGCGTAGTAATTGTGTGTGTTGTGTGTTGTTTGTGTGTGTGCTTAATGAAACCATTATATCTTTTTTTTTTTACAATTTTTTTTACAATAAAAGGCATAAGACGCTTCAACACTTCACCTAACTAAAACATATAATGGTAGAGTGAGAATATTTTTTTAATATGTAGTAATTGTGTTTGTGTGCTTAATGAAACCATCATATCGATTTTTTTACAAAAATTGTTTTACAATAAAAGGTATAAGACCCCCCAACACTTCACCTAACTAACACATATAATGGCAAAGTAAGAAAAATATTTGTTTTTCAAATTTCGTAGTTATGCTTTATGAAACAATTATATCGATTTTTTACAAAAAATGTTTTTTTTTTTTTTTCAAATAAAGGTATAAGACGCTGAAATATTTCAGCTAAACAAAACATAAAAAAGGTAATGAAGGTGAATAATAAAGATATATTGTTCTACGAAAAAGGGTATAGATTTGTGTTTGCTATTTTTTTATTGCTAGAAAAAATAATGTTAATCCTGCCCAGAAGTCCTCCTCTACGTGGCGGGTGGGAGAAGCAGCACAAATAAGAGACTGCCCTGTAGTACGGTGTCGTGAACCCCGAGCCGCTACGGTAACCGTGAACAGGGAACTCTGAAATGTGGCTGACTAACGGGGCAATGGTACCCCCCCCCCCCCTTTCCATGGAGCAACAAAATTGGATAAGACACCACCACTTATAATGTATATATATATTTGCATATTGTTTTGAAAATAGAGCAATCCATAAATAAATATTTGATTAAAAAGGCATATATTGGATCAAAATATCATTTATTTTATCAATATTTCAGTTGGCTGAATGCCAACCTTTATCAAGGTATTATATGGCGCTGAATCTGTTGTTGACACACATTAATATGTTATAACACCTTGATAAAGGTTGGTGTTCAGCCAACTGAAATATTGGTAAAATAAATGATATTTTGATCCAATATATGCCTTTTTAATTAAATATTTGCACATTGTAAGTAAATTCAAATTAGATTTTCATCAAAATGTTGTATGTGTTGCAGCTTGGTTCCTGACAATGTTAGCCAGGACTTCCTTTAGCTCCTTCAGCCTCTAGTCTGGTCTCAGAAGACGACGATATGTGGCAGAGCTTGTTATTGACTGTACTTTACGAGACCAGACCGGCGGATTGACTACTGAGAATGTTTTCCTATCGCAAAACTGCGATGTAGCAAGCTGTTTGAATAGAGGAAGAACGCCTCACTCGGTTTTATCTGACTGACTGACTTTATTGAATCTTTCACTCCTTTTATATACATATTTATTTACATAATTAAAAGAAAGAAATAAAAATTAACATGATTATAAAACAATGCACCCTAGCAAGTTGTTTACATAACTAGGCGCAAACAGTATGAAAGATAATTTTCCAGAAGCAACTAAATATGAAATAAGACAGAAAAGACATTATTTTGATGGTAGTCGAAAAATATGGTAATTCAGAGATTAAAGGATGACTGAGCAGAAATATTTATTCTAAGTAAAAAAAGAATAGTTAGAAGAAATGATTCAGGTGTTGACGATTCAGCAAAAATTTCCTCTTGTCAACTTGATTACGACTTATTTTGCAATCAGAAATGGATTTAAAGAATTTCTTGGAATCAATTTTCTCTTTTGAAACATTTTTGATATTTCAGATTTACTATTGCATAAATAGATATATTGGAATTTTAAAAGTTAATTT